AATTAGATTTGCTTAATGTTTCATGAGTCATGCAAGTAAGCCTCTCTATATCAAGACTATCTCGCTTTCAAGACAGCCTGTCCATCCATTTGCGGCTAAAAAGATGTCAGATAGGACCCTCTTTCCTGAGGCCCCCCCATGTGCTTTGTGAATCCCCCAGCAGAGCAGCAGAGTGAAGGAGGTGGTCTCTGCCCTCAAGCAGTCCAGATGGATGAGAGAGGAAGACCTGCACAGGCTGTCTCTGACACCAGGCAGGGCAGGGCAACCTGTGACAGGTACAGGCCAGGGGCTGCAGTGCCAACAGGCTGAGCCAATAGCAAGTGTTGAGTGGGGTCCTGGACCCCAGCTGCCGTTGTAATTCAGTGGCAGATATGGGAGACTGAGCCTCACCAGAGAGACTCTCTGTGGCAGGTGGGTGGCATTTGGGCTGGGCCTTGGACAAGATGTAGAGAGAGGACCTTGATACCTGCCCTATGAGAAGGACATTCCAACAGAGACATTGACCTGAGCTGAGGTGCAGGACAACAGGGCGGAGAATACCTAACAGCGACTCTTGAAGAGCTTTCAATCCACTTGAGAAGAAAAGAAAAAGAGAAAGCACCAAGTCACATAAACATAATGTGGGCAGGGTCAAGGGCCAAAGGCAGGTGGGTATAGCAGGGGGAAGGGGAGTGAGCTAGTGAACTGGAATCCACTCTCCCACCCTGTGCCAGGCCAGGCCCCACTACCTCACTCCAGGCTATTTCACAGCCTCTCCTCATGGGCGCCTGCCTCCTGGACCACCCATCCTGCAACCAGCACCCACACTGTCAGCCGTGCCTCTGAAGTCCATGAACCCCCAGGCCTCTTAACTACCCATGGGAGGAAGCTCAGAGCCTTCAACCCAGCACCTGAGGCCCTTCAGAGTCTGGCCAACACTACCACCCACAATACCTATGACATCTTTTCATTTGCCCTATGATCAAGTTACAACAGACAATTGTCATACCCTGGACATGCCACCCATTTTAATGTAAATATATTTACCCACCCTGACCCCTCTGCCTAGAATGCTAAAGAGAGTGGGCTCTGGGGTTGGAATCTGAGCGTCGTGATCTTGGGCAAGCTCCTTAACTTTTTTGTGTATCAGTTGCTTCATCTGAGAAATCAGGATGACAGTACCCACTTTCCAGGTTTGTTATAAAGATCAAGTAAGTTCAGACAAGTAGAGTTTACTATCAGTTCCTAGCACATAGCAGGTACTCAACAAAATGTGAACTGTTATTAGAATCAATGGATTGAAACTTTTGGAGGTTGAGTTCAATGTCTTATGTATAAAGAATGAATTGCTAGTCCTTCTGGGCATGTGGGAACTGTTGTGGTGTTTTCTTCACTGTCTGGTCAGTGGTACCAGGCAGAGCCTCGGCTCCTTCTGGGTGCTCAGTAAGTAATATGACTATCTGGGTTTGGGCTGAGTGCAGCAGAGTCTTCTTAGACACAGTCCCCTGTGTCTGCTGTGGTTGAGATGACCTAAGTTATGCTGTGGTAAACAACCCCCAATCTCAGTGACTCTGAACATCAGAGGTTTATTTCTCAGTCACAGCATGTGTCCCTCGAAGGTTGCTGAGGGCTCTACACCATGTTGTCCTCACTCAGGGACTCAGGCTGACAGAGCCTCCACTTTGTGGAACACCACTGGTCACATGTGCCAAACTAAAAGGAGTGTGGCAAATAGCACACTGACCCCTAAAGACTTCTGCCCAGAAGTGATGCACATTTTACCATTCACATTTACTGGCCAAAGCAGACCAGGTGGGGAAGTGCAACCTGCCACGTGCTCATAGCCTCAGGACATTGGAGCCCCCAAGGCCAGCATGGGAGTCCTCCCTCGGGAGCACACCGGCCTCAGACACTCACTGGCACTCACAGGGAAGGCAGAAGCAGTGAGTGGCAGCAAGTGGCTGCAACTCCAGGCAGCTGTGCTCAAGCCCCCACCCTACAGAGGCTCCAGGCTGAGGGCAACCCGGACAGGACTGTTGACAAGCTCAGACTCTCCAAGACTCAGCCCCCAGGGCTAGAGTGGACATGTGGCCTGGAAAGAAGGCTCCAGTGCCACGCTGGACACAAGGCTGGGCTGCCTGGGCTTACAGGACATCCATCCAGATCCTCCCCTTGTATTTACAGAGTCCATCTACAGCACCCTGGGGGCCTAAGAGAGGCTGCCTCCCTGAGGTCAGAGGGCCTGGTTCCTGACAGACAGCAGGCAGGGCTCTCTGTTAGCCCTCAGCCTCCCCCTCCTTCTCATACAGCTGACCTCAGGGGCTCCAACATGATGGCAAATTAACTCCCTCTGGCTGAGAAAAAAATGCCATTCTTATTTGCAGGCGATGTGTTTCAACACCCCGGGTGGATGCCCAAAACCAAGGAAAGTACCAAATCCTACATATACTTTATTTTTTCTATACATACATACCTATGCTAAAGTTTAATTTATGTATTAGGCACAATAGGAGATTAATAATAATGACTACTAACAAACGAGAACAAGGCTCCATACCCGTAACACAGTGGTTACAGTGCCAGCCACATACACCAAGGGTGGTAGGTTCGAACCCAGCCCAGACCAGCTAAACAACAATGACAACTGCAACAAAAAATACCCAGGCCTTGTGCCAGGTGCCTATAGTCCCAGCTACTTGGGAGGCTGAGGCAAGAGAATTGCTTAAGCCCAAGAGTTTGAGGTTGCTGTGAGCTGTGACGTCACAGCACTCTACTGAGGGCAACATAGTCTCAAAAAATAAGATGAATGAGAACAATTATAGCAATATACTGTCCTAATGTTATCATGCAATGTGGCCATGACATTTGCAGTTTGAGATGACAACAAAACTTGCACAAATTTCTTTTTCCTTCTTCATAGCCTCCCAGATAGGTTTGTTCTTACACTAACACTTAGCAACCTCAGCATATGATTTTTTTTTCTTTCCACTTTTTCATTTAAAAGAAGTGCCTCTTGGCTTCTCTTTGGCATATCCAAACAGACAGCAGCACTACTCTTGCACTTTCGGGCCCTTCCAAAGTGAAATAAAGAGTTCCTTTAATACAAGTACCATGAAGCCATGACAGTCACCTGTTGACCACACTGGGTACTCAGTGACCACAGGCAAGGAGCATCTCCAGGGTAGATCCACTAGACAGTGGGATGGTTCACATCCTAGGCGGGGTGGAGTGTATGGCGAGAGATTTCATCATACTACTCACAGCAGCACACAACTGGAAACTTAAAAATTGTTTGTTTCTGGGACCGAGCATGGTGGCTGATGCTTGTAAGCCCAGCACTCTGAGAGGCCGAGGTGGGTAGATTGCCTGAGCTCAGGAGTTTGAGACCAGCCTGAGCAACATGAGACCCCATCTCTACTAAAAATAGAGAAACTAGCCAGGCATCATGCCAGGCACCTCTGGTCCCAGTTACTTGAGAGGCTGAGATAAGACGCTCACTTGAGCCCAAGAGTTTGAGGTTGCTGTGAGCTACAATGCCACAGCATTCTACAAGGGTGACAGAGCAAGATTCTGTCTCAGAAAAAATAAATAAATAAAATTTAAAAGAAAAATAAATTATTTCTGGAATTTTCCATTTAATATTTTCACACTATGGTTGACCTCAGATAATGGAAACTATAGAAAGCGAAACTGCAAATCAGGGTGGGCCACTGTACATAGCGTTCCTGAGTGACCCGCAGCCACTTGTCCTGGTGGAATACCAGACAAGACTTTTCTCAGGACAACCTGCACATGCCCTCCCACAGCTGTGTTCCTGAAACAAGCCCCATGGCTGTGCCATAACTCAGTCTTCCCAAAGCAGAGAGCTGTGTGTTTTATTAAAGGTGTGAGGCTCTAAAGCAGTGTTTTTCAGCCTTTTTATCTCATGGCACACTTAAACCTATGGTTAAACTTCCATGACACGCTAAAATTATGTTGATTCAAAAAAAGAGTACAAAGAATATACTTACCGTGCTTTGAATTTATTTCAAAATTAATTAATAATCTTTAAAAATTTTCGTGCCACACCCATGATCCTCTCACAGCACAACACTGCCACAGCACACAGGTTGAAAATCACTGCTCTAAAGGAACGAGGTTTAGTACCTGAAATTCAATCAGCATGCTCAAGTATGCCTTACTCTAAGAGCTTCAGACAATCACATAATTTGTAAAATGACATTTATTAAGAGAAAATATGACTTCTTCCCAAACTCACAGTAGCCTGGATCCTCAGAGCCAGGCCAGCCTGAGCCTGGGGTCCTTTGGGAGTCTGGAAGCAGATGCGGTAATGGCAACCCTCTCGGGGAGCCATTCCACAGCCGTCCCTCCCTGCCTACCACAGGAGGACTTAAGATGCTCTGGGGCCCCTATAGAGATGCTGCCTCATGGGCATGCTTCTGCTGAGCCAGGAACACATCGAGGCCCACACCAAGTAAAAAAGAACCAGGGCCTGTGGGATAAACCTGTGATCTCTGATAAAACTGGCCACAACCCTTCCCATGAAGGATTCTAGGGATGTGCAGAGGCAAAAACATACCGCTGCGCAGACGCACTCCTAGGAAACAGCCCTGTCAGTGCCTTGTCAGATTCTTGGGAACATGCCCAGTGGTGCTGGCTGTGATGTGCCTTCTTCACCTATGCTATGCCGTCAAGCCAGCTGTGTTGTGAGGACGTGGGACAGCCCCAGTGCACCTGGGGGTGAGCACACACAGCAAGAGGCCAGCACAGACCTCACACTGTCATATGAGCCAGCCCACTTTATTATATTTGGGCCACCCCCTACCTCCGCTAACCAGCTGTGGGCTAGAGAGGATGAGGCTGGGAAAGAGGCCTCTAGACCACATGGTACAATCCAGTAGGGAAGGACTTTCCCTGCACTGCATGTGACCCAAGTCTGGGCTTCATGTCTCTAAAAATAATCCACAAATTTGGACATGGGGTGGGTCTTTTTTCTCACTTGGAGTCACAGCCACCAGACGTTTTGGTGTCTGAAGTTCACATTTATTTTCTCTCTGTCTACAAGTGAACCAGAGATGAGCCTGCTGACCAGGAGGCTCCTCCCTCCCCAAACACACAAACACACCCACAAACACACACATTTGCAAAGAGCTCGTAGGTCTCTTTTAGAAGGCACTGGTTTGGGATCTGGTTGGTGATTCCAGGATGCATTATTAGAGTATGTCTTGAAGGTAAGTTCTTGGTCAAGATGGCGCCTCATGACAAATATTGCTTAAAAGCTGTCCACAGAACTGTCAGGAAAAGGATGACCAAGAGATGGTGTCAGGAATGTTAAAAATCACATAAAATTCACAGCAGTCCTTTGGCCAAAGAGTATGCTAAGACTCGTTCTGGTTGAGGCTTCTCTGAAGCATGACCAGAGCTGCCCCGAGAGCTGCGTCCACATCCTGCCCAAAAGACACTGGCAAAGGGAAAGCCCTCTGTACCTCCTGCTTCAGCACCTCATTCCTGGACAGCGCACTCCCACTCCCCATCACCCGCTCCACACCCCACTCTTGGAGCTGCTGAAATGGGAGCATCGAGTGCAGATTCTGAACAATGCCTCGGCACAGGGCCCGGGTCACATGCCCCAGGGAGAGGTCAGAGGAGGAGATTCGGGTCACTGAGGCCAGCTCGTCCGGCAGGTGCCGCTCCCCCAACACCGTTGGGGTGATGGTTAGGCAGGTGTCTCTCTGCTGCACAGCTGCCTGGATCATGCGTGAATACACTGCAGATTCTTCAACCTCTAGGCCTGCCAGAAACAGAGAAGGTCTGTGTGAGCTCATGCAGCCCTCTGATGCAAGCTGAGACAGTATAGAATCCCACAAGGCAGGAATAGGTCTCCACAGTGTGGCTGGCAGCTTCTGGGCTCAGGGACTCACACAGTCGGGTTAGCTAGACTCCACCACAGATTCTGGTGTCTCACTACAAACCCCAGCCAGACTGAGCTATCATGTAAGTGTTGCCATGAGCACTAACCCTAACCCAGGCTTTCTTAATAAGGGGCTCAAATGCATACACTGATAGATAAGTATCAACACAGCTGCTAGCAGAGTCATCAGCAGATCACAGTCTAGGCCACACTTGTTATATGCACAGAGCACCTGAGGCCCAGGGAAAAGTGAAGTGTTGACCATTCTACGGCTCGATGATGTCAACCCAGCACCCTGGTCACATTTCTCTCCCCCATACTATGTTAGCTCTGCTTTCTAAAAAAGGAAAAAGGAAGATTTGGGTTTCAATACACTCTGACCTTAGAGTCACATTTTATCTCTAACTTGCCATTAACCTGAGAGAAAGCAAACGTGGGCTTAGCAGGAAGAAAGTTATGAATATTGGAGACTTGTCACTAACGTGGCACACTAGAATCACCTAAGAAGCTTTAAAAGCACCATAGGCTCTATCCCCAGACTTTCTGATTTAACTGGTCTGGCTGCAGCCTAAGGGCTGGAATTCTTAAACTCACCCAGGTGATTCTTCTAACAAGCAGCCAGGCTGGAGAGCCGCAGGCCTAGACCAGTGTTTCTCAACTTGAATCACTTAGGAATCTTTCTGTACGTGCTGATGGTGGTTCCTTCAGGCTGGCTAGGGACAGAGGTTTGGGGCCAGTTCTGCCTTGATGGGGGTCCCCTCAGGCATGCTTCCATTAAAGAACCCAACTTAGACAGTATTTTGCCTTATATCAGAAGAGGTTTTTGAGATGTAGAACCAGTCATCAGAACCTTCAGGCAAGCCCTTTATCTAGACAGTGGCTTAAGTAGAATGTGTCTGTCAACTGTTTACTGAGTTGTCAGTGTTTCTCTAGATACAGAAATGACTGTTTTTCTTATCCCTGAAAGAAGTAGTAACATTTCATTTTTCTGTAAGATGCTTTTATTATTTTCATGGTTTTATTTTGATGGAACAGAGGATGCTTTGGAAAGGTTAGTATTTTTAGGTAACTCAATCTCTCTTTTTTTTTTTTTGAGGCAGAGCCTTAAGCTGTCACCCTGGGTAGAGTGCCATGGCATCACAGCTCAGAGCAACCTCCAACTCCTGGGCTCAAGCGAGTCTCCTGCCTCTGCCTCCCAAGTAGCTGGGACCAGAGGCGCCCTCCACAACACCCGGCTATTTTTTGGTTGCAGCCATCATTGTTGTTTGGCGGGCCAGGGCTGGATTCGAACCCACAACCTTAGGTGTACGTGGCTGGCACCTTAGCCACTTGAGCCACAGGCGCCACGCCAGGTAACTCAATCTCTTAAAAAGTTTTTGCAATTCTGTCATTTGATTGAAAAAAATAGATGTGAATCTAATAAAGTTCGTTCAGGTAAAAAGATATTGGATTTATTAACCAAAACCATACACAAAATACAAAAATATAACTCTCACTCTAATTCAGAATGCCCTAGGTTTGCTTGGCCCTTTTGAGATTTCTACCCTTTTGTGGTGGTTTACAGGGAGGGTCTCCCAAGCTGGGTGGCACGGGTTTGAATCTCAGCTCTGCCACTTACTGTGTGCCTTTGGGCAGGTTTCTTAACCCTTCTGTGTACTTCACATCCCTCCTCTAAAAATGGGATCATCCTCATACCTACCTCAAAGGACTGCCAGGGTTAAGTGAGTTAATACTGGGAGGCACTTGGAATGGTGTCTGGACCATAATGAGTGTGATGAAAGCATTTGTCACAGCAGCACAGAGTGGTGGGTAGAACCCAGGACAGTGGCCTCAGTTCCCAGCTCTGTCCTGCAGTCATTACACTGGCTTGTCAAGTCCCTTCCCTTTGGTGTTTTCCCAGCTCCCGTGTTTTGTAGTTCTAAGTCCATGCTATGGACACTTGGCTCATAGCAGTTTCTGCCTCCATTTAGCCTACTGATAAACTAGAATAGGGTAGGAGTCAGGAATGCAGCTGCTGAACTAGAAGCCAGGTCTCCCTCTCAGATCTGCAGCTGGTATTCACTTTCCTTCAGGCAGCCCCAAGGTCTGCACTGCCTGAGCCCACCCTGTTGTAGCATTGGTCATTTCCTGCAATTTCCTGATTTTGAGCTCCTCCAGGTGACCATTGCATCTGATGACCATCATTTCCCCAGATGTGGAGGGCTAACCAGGAACTTCATTTCTACCTTAAGTGCTTGCAAAGGGTACCATTCCTGGAGGAAAGAGGTTACATGTTCCACTGAACAAGAGGCAGTGCCCAACTTACAATGGTTCAACAATTTTTCAAGAGCTAGGCACAGTGGCTCATGCCTACAATCCTAACACTCTGTGAGGCCAAGACCGGTGGATTGCCTGCGCTCAGGAGTTCAAGACCAACCTGAGCAACAGAGAGATCTCATCTCTACTAAAAATAGAAAAACTAGCTGGGCATTGTGGCAGATGCCTGTAGTCCCAGCTATTCAGGAGGCTGAGGCAAGAGGATTGCTTGAGCCTAAGAGTTTGAGTTGACTCCAGAGTAAGACTGTCTCAAAAAAAATTTTTTTTCAACTTTACAATAGTGCAAAAGCAATCTGCATTCAATAGAAACTTCGCAAACCCATATAGCCATTATGTTTTTCACTTTCAGTATAGTATTCAAAAAACTGCATGAGGCTCGGCGCCTATAGCTCAACCGGCTAAGGCGCCAGCCACGTACACCTAAGGTGGTGGGTTCAAATCCCCAGCC